GTGTGTGGGTGAGGCGGTGGGGGGGGGGGGGGTATGCATAAACAGCACTTTTGCTAATGTTGATGCACAAATAGTGTTGGTATGCATAAACAGCACTTATCTGATGGATTTAAGAAAAGCTAACTCTGGTGAAGAGTGCAATCATTTTTGCCAATGCTTTCTCTCCAACGTAGCCCTCAAAGAGTTGTTGTTATTAATGTTATCCCTTTCAATGAGAACACATTTGCACTCCAACATCCATGGTTTGCAAATGCTTTTTATGGCTGCGATGATATGGAGCTTCACTTGAGAGCTATCCTAATGTTCAAACCTTTGACCATAATGACTTGGACGCCACTACTATGCAGGAACTTCTTTCCTTCTTTTTGTCATCTTTTGACACAATACAATTAAAATCACCTCCAACAATAGTTGGTAATTCAATATCATAGCAGCTGGAAATACCTTCGCACAATCTTCATGGAACAATGTGCTCATTACTTGTGTATATTGTGCCAATCCTCCAAGTTCCATTATCCGGAAGCCTTGTTAGCCCATAATGACTTGATTGTGCATCAACTCGTTGCTAAAAGTGATAGTATCTCTCTGTCACAACCCCGTTTGATTTACTCACCCACTGAAGGTTGAAAGTTTAAATCCCACTTGTTTCGAGCGGTGATGTCAACTTCTTTACGACTGAGCTAATCCATTCTCGTATCAACGAAATCAACAAAGAACAAGTTGTTCTCTTCAGCTATTGCTTTAGATAATTGTCCGTAACATTTTTGCCGAGACCTCGAGAATTCTAAAAAGGGATGGGTGCCATTGGGTACCTCAAGGGGGCATGATCTTGACGTCCATTCTATCTTCACATTCTTGCATTTTCTACGTTTCATCTCTACCGGGCCTAACTGAAGCTGCTCCAAAATGAGCCTTGGAGACTCCTTCCTCACCAGCTCGTGATTTGGTGGCACCAAGTCTCTTAGGGTCCGTTTGGGGCCACTTTTTCTATGCGGCGCGGCCCCAAACAGCGACATTTCTTCGTTTGGAAGCCAGATTCGCTGCGGTCGATTGCTGAAGTTCGCGGGCAGCGGGATCCCCCCA